AAAACTTTGAGATTTATTTATTAAACTTTAATAATAATAATAATTTTTCACTTTAAAAATTTAAATTTCTTTTTTTTTCGTTTTTCTTATAGCGCTATAAAAAAACGCGACTCGACTATAAATTTCTTTTCTTTTTTTTTTTTTTTTTAAATTAATAATACAAAATCCTTTCACATACGAACATACATGAACGAAAAAAAAAAAAAAAAGAATGAAAAGTTTTATAGTTTCTTTTTTTTTTTTTTTTTTATACTCGTAAGGTTATAATGATAAAGAAAAAAGAGAGGAAGAGAAGAGAGAGGGGCGGTAAATCTAAATCTAAATATATATATATATTAAAAAAAAATAAGGAAGGAAAGGAAAAGAAAAAAAAAACACCATCATCATCATTATCATCATTATTATTATGAAAAGGTTCGAGTTTCCATTAAACTTGTTTGTTAATAATAATAATAATAATAATAATAATCCTTTTTTTTGTGTGTTGTTATCGTTATTATTATTATTATCTATTTTTTTTTTTTTTTAGTTGTACGGAAAAACTTGTGTGTGTGTGTGTGTGGAAAATTTGAACCTTTTTTCATCGTAATGTGGTGGGTAGTCGGGAAACAAAAAAATATGGGAATATAAGAAAACCCGGGAAAATTTTTTATTATTATTTATTTACCGATTATCTTCGGGTCACTTTAACGTAAAACCCTTTTTTTTAACGGTTACCAGTGTAAAAGATAAAACAAAATAAAAAAATTTTTTTTGGTTTGTTTTGTTTTGTTTTTAATAAAAAGATTTATGTATTAATTAATGGAGGAGAAGGAAAAAAAGGAAAAGAAGAAAAGAAAGAAACAATTATTATTATTATTATTTTTTATCCTGTTATTTTTTGTTCTGGTAACTTTTGACGAGGGTTAGAAGTTAAAATAAACGTGATGACGTAACAGGTTTTTACAAAACGTTAAAAAAAAAAATTCCCCTTTTAATTTTTACAACGTAAATAAATTCTCTCCCCCCTTTTTTGATTTTCTATCATTATTATTATTATTTATAATTTTTTTCGGGGAAAGGAGGAGGGGAGGAGATATATCGGAAGAAAACGTAAAAAATAAAAAAATGAGAATAAAAGAAAAATTTTTTTTTTCTTTTAACGTGATTGGTAATATTCAAGAGTGAGAAGGTTGGGGGCAATTGGGGGTCAGGGGAGGAATCAGAAATATAAGGACAGAAGTTATTAAAAGAGATTTGATGAAAAAAAAAAGAAGACTACGCGTTCCAGAAAATATGAGTACAACATCAACGACGAGGAAAAAAACAAAAAAACAAATAAAAATAAAAGCAATGAAGTGAGAGATGATAATAATAATAATAATAATAATAATAATAATAATAAAAAGTATGAAAAAAATTTGAAAAAAAAAGGAGGGAAAATGACGGCATAAAGGATGGAACCGGGTGTAATATTTCCCGTAGGTATCATTCCGACGGGAATTCCAAAAGAAAAGAAGAAGAAGAAGGAAAAAAAAGTGCTTTATTCAATTTCGTGGGGAAAAAAAGAAAAAGCTTTTACACGCACGCACACACACACGCACACAACAACCACTCATACGCACATATATATATATAAAAAGTAGTCGTTGTTGTAGTGTGGAAGCATAAAATTCAAACTATTTTTTCCTTTCTCTAAAAAATACAACAAACCGAAAAAAAATGGAAGAAAAGAAAAAGAAAAACCAGGAAAATTAATTTTTTTTTCGGGGGGGAAAGGCGTGGAGGAAGAACAGAAGAAAGGGGGGCACGAGAAAAAGTGAAATAGAATGACAAAAAAAAAAGAATTGTTTTAAACAGGTTTTTTATTTTATTTTATTTTTTTTTACAGTCACGTGATTTAATGCCAACTTTAAGAAAAAAAAAAAAAAAAAACTATTTAAACTTCTTATAAATTTTAATAATAATATAATAATATTAAAAAAATATGAAAAGTTTATTGTGTGTGTGTGTGTGCGTATGCAGATGCGTGTGCGTGTGTATATGGTAGTTATAATAATAATAATAATAATAATAATATTAAAATTCTATAGAAAGATGATAATAATAACAAAGAAGTTAAATTTATTTTTTGGTTAAACCCCCTAAAGCTTTGTTCTTTTGTTAAATTAAAATTATTATTATTATTATTACTATCATTATTATTATTATTATTATTATTATTATTATTTATTATATCAATCCATGTTTTTTATTATAGTTGGATGGAAGAGAAGAAGAAAAAAAATAAAAATTAAATAAAAAATAAATAAATAAAAAAACTTTTCCGTTGATTCATAAATAATAATAATAATAATAAAACTATTATTATTTTTATTTATGTATGTATGTATGTATGTGTATATATATATATTTATTAAATTATTATTAAAAATTATCAAACCGTATTTAACGAGTTATTAATTAATTAATTTATTTATTTATTAAAATTTTTTTTTTCTTCTTTTTATTCTTCACGTTATCATTATTATTATTATTATTTCGTGCGACGCCCTATTTTATAATTATTACTATTATTAAACTTTTTATTTATTATTATTAATAATAATAATAAATTTTTTCGCCGAATTGTTCGTTTATTTATTTATTTATAACAAAAGTTTTGTTTTGTTTTAAAAAAATCGATTATTGTGAATCGACGGCGTCGATTGTATCGATTCGAGATTTTTTTTTTTTTGTTTTTTAATTAAGAGATTTTCTTTTCACGGGTCGTTAATTTTTCCAGGAGGGGGAGGGGAGAGGGAGGGGAGGAGGCGTTTTTATACTGCATTTTCATTTTCCTTAATTAAACGTTAAAATTTTTATTTATTTTTACAGGCACACACATTTAAAAAAAAAAGGAATGGATGTATAATTCAATTAAGGTAATAATTTACTTTTCATTCTAGGAAAAATATTTTTTAAATTATTATTATTATTATTAGATAAATAATTTTCTTTTTATTTCTTTCTCTCTCTCT